TTTTAAAGTGGGTTATTTGGTCATGTAAAACTTTTTTAAATCAATAAATCCGATCCCCAGTTATACATATTTATGAAATTTACATTATTTGATGAGCGATAAAGAAAATTTTGAATGTTAAATTCTCTGAATTCAGTTAAATTAAAGCATTTTTTAATTAAAAATTTTTTATTAAAACACTCTTAAATAAATAAATATATTTATCGTAAATATGAATTATTCAGGTCTTTTCTCTGTTGTATTTCCTCCGAACACAAAAAAAAGAATAGTTAAAATAATCCAATCATTCATTTAACTCTAAATTTATAAAAAAATTATATTTAAAAAGCTTATTAACAACCATGCATTCCTTTCTACATTCAGCCTTATTAAACCACCGATTGCTACTTCCACCACATCCTAGATATTTAAATCTCTAAAAATAAGGAAAATATCCCTTATAAATTGTTTTAAAATAGTGCCTACTTTACACTGTTTTGCTTTAGAATCATACCACCAACGCATAACAGCTCTGCATTTTTTACCACTACGTCCTTTTCTTAGAGGTTGAAAACAAAATTTGCTCTATGATGATTAGAAAGATTTATATAAATGATTATATATCAATTGTACGAGATGTCTCGAAAAATGACTATCTCAATCAGGGTGGCCCTTTTGCTTCATATGGGAGGCATTTGCCCCTTTTTTGACCTTCTCGCCATCTTTTTGCCCAATTTTTGGAAGGGTGTGCGGACATATCGGGATCGGGGCGACAAAAATAATTTCTTGCGTGTTTACATTTGTTCTAAAACATAAAAACTCTATTCCTCAGCAGGACAATATACTATCCAAGACCCAGTGGCCGTAGGTACCGAAATCAGTAGGGTAACTGTTCGTACATTGAAATATCCCGATATGTCAGTCCCGATATGTCCGCGTGCCTTTGGAAGTCATGTCACCTTTAGGTGATTTGGAAAGGGCCACCCTGATCTCTATAATAGAGATTGTCGTTCGAGTCTCGTCTCGACCGATCTATATAACTATTAATTCATTATTTTATTATAAATTATAAAGATACTGAAGGATTCTGACATTTATTTCGTTAAATAATATACCGCACTCTGACTAATTTCCACGAAAACTATCAGTAAAAGTAAAAGAATAATGAAATTACGCATATTTTAGAATTAAATATTTTAAATAATTATGAGATTTAGTGAATGATAATTGTTGGTAAATAATCATTTTGTTTATATATTCAAGAAAATTATAAAAAAATAAAAATGTTAAAAAGCTTGATTAAATATTTAAATAAAAATATATTGTTAAAAATTAGTAAGGTTATTCAACTTATTTTTCTATAAGTGTAGATAAAAAATAGAAGAAAGTATTTGACACGTTTATTTTTAAATTTTTTTGTTATTTTTCCTCATATGATAAAAATAACTGTCAAAATAAATTAAATGTTAAAATATTTATATTTTTTATATTCAAGAAAATAATTTTAAATATAAATTTCAAAATCGCTGAATTTTTTAAATATTGAAAATTAAAAAGTCCAATTAATGTGTTATACAAATTCTCTGAACGCTTTTCTCCTACTTATATGAAATGTTTGGAATTTTAAGATTTGCCTAAATCATCAGTACTTATTTTTTGCTCGTACTCGTATAAAATGTAATCACACAAATTTATTTATGAAGACATTTTATTTCAGATACGAACAACTTTGAAACAAAGTTTAAAAATAGTTTGATAACTAGAAATGTTAAAATAGCCGGCTCTGGTCTAGTTTACGAGTCCAATGACATTTTATGAGTCCAATGAAGGTTTACGAGTCCCATGAAAGTTTATGAGTCCCATGACAGTTTATGAGTCCGATCAAAAGTTTATGAGTACAATGAAATTTTATGAGTCCAATCAAAATTTGGACTATATGAAAGGCTATATATTTTTTGACTATATACATATATATAAGGGGTCATAGATAATATGGAGGGATTTGGGTGTGATATCGAAGGATTGTAGTGTAAGTTAGATATCAGGGATTGGATATCTGAGGATATGGCCTTCCAAAACTAGAATTTCTCACTTGTCCTTCCGAAATTCACAAAATTTTTGCCTGCGGCGCTCTAAGGGAAGGATGAATAACGTATTTTTAAGACTTTGCATAGATTCGGGGATTTAAAGTAATTTTGGTTTCATGTATCAAGAGTTATAATGGTATATCGGTGATTTGATATTTAGGGATCTAGTGGGATTAAGGATAATTCGAACCAAGAAAAAGTTCCGGTTCCGGGATCCGGAACTCAAATCGAATCCGTTTCCGTTCGAAATTTCGGTTCCGTTGAAACACTAATAAAAATAGATTTTGTAGAAATTTGTATTTTTCATTGGACTCATAAAATTTCGATTGGACTCATAAACTGTCATCGGACTCATAAACTTTTGACTGGACTCATAAACTTTCATGGGACTCGTAAACCTTCATTGGACTCGTAAACTTTCATTGGACTCATAAAATGTCATTGGACTCATAAACTAGACCAGAGCCAAATAGCCATTCCGAGCCCTGCCAAAATCTAAAACTAGATTAATTCAGGGTCGCGAGTGCTTGCTTAAAACGTTTTTATTTTTTTATTTTCCATTGCATCGAGGAGAACAAAAAAAAGTTTGTTACTTATTAATTTTGCATAAAAGCTATGTTTTGACGTTATGGCTCTTAAACTAAGGATTTTAAACTTAAACTTATGTATTATATTAGTCATAAAATAATAATTAATAATATTTAATAAATAATAAATTAATTTTAAATAAAATTGTAGCAAGAAATAATAAAATCACAAAATCGTTCAATTCCTTTGTAAATCAATCAAATTGTATTCCTTTATTTTTTCAAGACCTTCAACCTAAGTATTAAAATAATTTATTAATAAAAAATACTAACTATGGGAATTAGTTTATAATTATCGATACAATTTTTCAATACGAAACATATAGAGATATCAAGTCAAAGTTTTAAGAATCTTGGGTCTATATATTTTTTAATATTTTAGCCCATCCCTGGGATTGGGGATTATTTGAGGAAAGGGAATTATTCAATGGAAAGGAATTAGTTGAGGGAAGGGAATTTTCAAGTTTTAAAATTTGAACATGTAGTAGAGCACTTGGGGGAGGGAAATTATAGTTTCATCATATCCTTGGGATGGGGAATTAATCGCGAGGGGATTATACAAATGTTAGGAATTAATCCAAAAACTACGGTAAATTCCTTTTCCTTTAATTATATAGAACCTTCGAAATATATTCAAAAAACCTATGACAATTTTCATATATAAAATAATTCTTAAAATTATTCTACCATAACGTAATGAGTTGCGGCATAAGGTATTAAAGAAATGAACAAATCAGTATATGTATCCTCTTTTGTTTCAATTTCAAAATTAATCGCCTCCATTTTGCCATAAAAATTTAATTTGATTGCTTCTCCTTTTTTTAATTCTAGATGGTGTTGAAGTAATTTAGACGTTTTTTCAGCGTTCCACCCTTTCTGTTAAAATATTTAATTTTTTAAGTACAACATCATTCGAAATACCGATCTGCTTTCAATATATATGCCATTTTGTGAAAGAGCAAAGTCTAAAACAACTCGGCCAACTATAATGAGAAAAGTATTAGATTGAACCTAAACATGTTTGAAGGTGAACTAAAACATGCCTTGAAGGTGAGTTTACGCGTCCAATCCAGCTTACGCTCAAATCTTTGTGTCCGCATTTATTGAAAGAATATAAATGAAAATAAATAACCCAAAATCGGGTTTGATGGTGGTACAGTCGGTTGTGCTTTGGTCTGGGCCAGGGGGTGCCGGAATTTTGGTCACCGGAATTTTGGTCACCACGCTTTTTCGGAACTTTGGTCACCAATTTTTTTGGAATTTTGGTCACCAGCGGAATTTTGGTCACCAAGTCAAAAAACAGAATATTGGACACTGAAAATTTGGTCACCAAGAGGAATTTTGGTCACCAAACGGAAAAAAGAATCTTATCTGAAACTGATATCAAAGTGTTAAAAATATTGTTTTTCAACTCCTAGTTGATCAATTTCTATGTTGATCACTCTGCCAGTTAATCAATCATCCGGTAGAGTGATCGAGAGTGATCAACCGGGCGAGTGATCAGCCAGCAAAGTGATAAACATTGAAATTGATCAACTGGGGGATGAAAAATCATTTTTTATCACTTTGATATCAGTTTTAGATAAGATTATTTTTTTCCGTTTGGTGACCAAAATTCCTCTTGGTGACCAGAATTTTAGTGTCCAATATTCCGTTTTTTTACTTGGTGACCAAAATTCCGCTGGTGACCAAAATTCCAAAAAAATTGGTGACCAAAGTTCCGAAAAAGCGTGGTGACCAGAATTCCGGTGACCAAAATTCCGTACACCGGGCCAGGGCTGTGCGCAAAAATATTCGCGCGGTGCGCCAAACGCCAATTTTTCAAAATTTTAAAACACGCCAATCATTGTGCTTCTAGTAGAGATAATATGATAATGGTGTTTTAATAAAATTTATATTTATTATAAGGGAATTACAGGAAAATAAAATTCAAACCTGCATAATGACGTTTTAAAGCTCCATTCAGAAAAGTAACATTAATCGGAAAATTTGAAATCTTGCCAATAATAACGATAGTATCGTAGTCCCTTAATGGCTTTACTTCCAACATATTTGGCGGTAATTCAAATTTTATTGAATTGTTGATTATTTTTTGACATTGGTTTGAATCTTCTTCAAATTTAACGTCTTTTATATCTCCCTCAATCTGAAAATATTTTTTCAAAAGTTTAATATTTTTTATTATGTAAATAAATCCTAATGCCTTTTGTTCTTAACTAGAAGTATACCCAGAATTAAGCTTTTGGCTAATTAGATTTTTCTGAAAGTACATATATCGCCAATATTTTTATCTAAAATTTAATAACAATTGGTCTAGTGACCAAATTTCCTTACACGGGAAATAAAATCATACCATAACGTAATTGACAGCCCAAGGAGGAATTCTATGATGGTAATGTATGAAATCTCCTCCATTGATGCTAATATTGTAGAAAAATTCTTCAGCATAGATTACTACATTTATATGCACGCCGGTCTGCCCAATCGGATTTGAGCGTGTTTCTGGAAATCCAAAATATTTATACTCATCGCTCCCTTGCGTCCTGATCTCCATGTATGATTTTCCTTCTCTTTTGAAAGCAACATTATTCTCTCGAAGCGATATATATTTCTCAGGTGCAAAGAAGAAAGTTAGCTGTAACACAGCGATTCCAACTTTTTAAAATAAATTTTTTCTTAAATTTAAATGTCCTTACAAGCAGAATAAGGTTCACTAGAATCGTGAAGTAAGTTTATTCTGAACCGATTGTTGATCATATCCTTTGCCTTCGGAACATAAGCCTCAAAGCACAAAATAGTCCCATAGCTTTTCAAACTCATTATCTTCTTTTTATACATTAAAGTTTGTTGATATTCTTCTACACCATAATCCAAAAGTTGTATATCTTTACCCATCTAAATTATTTTAATTAACCATCAACTTTTTAGATTCATATTTTCGATTTAATTAAAAACTATAAACATGCTTGTTGCTTTCTAAAATAAAATAGCCCATCGAATGGCGGCTCTAAATTGGCTCTTTTCCGGGTGTGCGGCATATCGGGACGGACATATCAGGAATCGGTGTGACAAAAATAATTTCTTGCGTGTTTACGTTTGTTCCAAAACATAAAAACTCTATTCCATAACAGGACAATATACTATCCAAGACCCAGTGAACGTAGGTCCCAAAATCAGTGGGGTAACTGTTCGTACATTGAAATATCCCGATATGTCCGTTTCGATATGTCCGCGTGCCCTTTTCGCGATTAATCCTAAATCAATCTCATTTTCTATTGTCATAGACTTTTTTAGAATAGGTAATTACAAAACACACCGATACTCTATTAATCATCCATAAAGGCAAAGATGTTTTGATTTTGCTATCAATTAATTCTTCATCGTTTATTTTGATATCAAAAGAGCTATTAAACTGATAAAATTTTCCAATTATTACGCACTCGAAGAGCTTTCCTTGTTGAAATATGGTATTGTTAAAAGTCTCACTTGTAACTCCGTTCGATGTTTTAGTCTAAATAAAAGTTTAAAAATTTGTTTAGTTAATCATATTTTTGGTAAATTTCTGATAATTTTTGAAGTATATTTCCGGCCGAAGATTTAGTTTTTTAAATTAATTTTTAAATCTATGATCTCGTTTAACTAGAGAAAATATTCATCACCTTTTGTTAATGCACCATGACATATCTCATTTTATTGACAACCCTATTACCATTATATTTTTACCGTTATATACTCTGACCAGTTTAATATATAGAAAAGATTAATAGATAAAAAATTAAAGGGGTAACTTAAAGAAAGATGTGAATAATCTTGATTATTCGCTTTTCCCGTCACTCTTTAAAAATCATGAAAACGAATTTCAGAGTAATTTTAAATTTTTTTAAAACAAAATTTCCTCACATCCATTGAATAAGTTGTGATTGTATTTTCGGTAAGGTTGACATACAATCCATAAACAGTTCTACCAACTTCAAAACTAATTTTATGTTTTAATATTGCTAAATAATTACTGTATTTATTCTCATCATGCTCTCCATGCATCAGTCGTATATAAAACTCAGATGCATCAGGCTCGATCATAAAAATAAATTTATGATGCACTTCTTTAGAAACAGTTTCTTCCGGTTCAAATGAATATGGCATTTCGATTATATGATTAAAAATACCAGCAAACTTAAAAATTAAAACAATAGTCTCACTAATATTTAGATCCTTCAAGATTAATTATGGAAAGGTGTGTGAAGTTATGCATAATGACGTCTACCCTGCTATATAATCTCTGGAATCAAACAACATCTGTAACTTGATGTTTCATGGAAAATAAACGTTCAATGAACATGTTCGATGTGGAGGAAATCGGGATCTTGTCTTTTAATATTAAAAATCTACGTGCGCTATGTAAAGCAAATTTTCTATGCTAGGCCAATATATTTTTCTAGTACATAGAAAAGATGGTTTTAAGAAAATTTTAAAATGTTATTCTAATTAAGTACAGTATACCAGCGATCAATTCAAATCATATACCCCTAGCTGCTTGCCGAAATGTCTTAAATATAGGTATATACCTCGTTGAATTCTTCGGTATTATCTTGTCCAATATATACAGGTGTAAATATGACAAAATCACCAGATATATCAATATACACTTCAGATTCATTAAAAAACTTTCCTTCCCACCATTTCTCAGGCCAAAATTTGTGTAAAAAATGTTCATTCTGATTAATTAAGATAGATGCCCAAACATAATATTTAGTTAAGCGAATTCTGACATCTAATCTTGATCCAGAGTTCATAAAATTTTTGGTCATTTTTCTCGTCAAATTCTTTTTTTGAAACTAAAATCGAAAGGTGATGTTTTACATTCTTTGCCACGGGGTGGGATTGGAGGAGGTGGATATTTGAGAACTTTTTGGGATTCAAAAAAATTTTAGTATAATAATTTTGGTACTATTCGACCCCCAACGTCCGCAAAAGTTTGCTAATATCATCCGTATTGAATGGTTAGAATATCGTGGATATGCCTGATTTGTAAGGTTATTTATCAAGGGATTATTACTCATCCAAATTAATCTTTACGACTAATTTCAGGCAAAACAGCGTGTTACTATAACTGCTGAAAAATATAATTGAAATGAGATCCTTTTTTTAGTCCCAGCTTTCAGGGTCCGACTTCTGACGGTTTTTGGATCATTTCTTACTGACAAAGAATTTTTTAAAAGTTCATATCAGTAATTGTAGTACCGCCAAAACAGCCAATATTATTTAAATTCTAAATTTATACATATCTTACCAAAGTACTGTTAGTTATAATTAAATCCTCATTTAGTTTGATTTCAATGAATGTTTTGTTGCCCTTAAGCAACAAAAATTTGCCGCCTTTTCCTTGATATCCTGTCCACATTCCAAACTCGACAAGTGTTTCTTTTTCTTTAATTTTTCCCAAGGTGTGGAGACTTTGGTCCGTTTTTCTTACAAAGCAGTCCTTGTTCTTAAAATCCTTTGGTCTGGATGATTTTTCAGGCACTGCTTTTAGAGGAGTCATTGGTGTTTTAAACTAAATATATTATCGATAATTTTAATAAATATATTTAATATTCATGATAATTAGCATGTGAGATTAAAGTATGGCAAATGTCTAAAAATCCTCCTAAATTATCTTTACATGCAGAGCAATAGTGAGAATAAGAAAATTATAATGACATTTCTTTAATTTAACTTAAAAATTTTTTGTACCCATGCGTAAATTCCACAAGCACAACCCCTATAGATAAACAGATCGAGCGTTTGTTGAGCAATTGTTGGTAGTAAATCTAATCCAAGAGACCAAATTCCGGTATATTTATGTATGTATGCACCCTTGTTTATATTGTTCATAAATTCTTTCATAAGCTCTTTATCTTTGCCAAGAAACACATCTTTTTTTAAAGCATCTTAAGTATTAAAAATTTCGATCACGTTTACTTCAATAATTTTTACATAATTTTTCTCAAATATGTATAATTTGTTTAATATATGCAATAGTTAATTGCAATTTCCTTTCCAAAAACGTAAAATATTAGTTTAAATGTAGAAGAGGTGGGTCGGAACAGTCAGAGGTGTCGGGCTCAAAAGTCGGAACTCGGAAATCGGAAATCAAAATTTTTTTTGGAAATCGTATATCGGAAATCATAATGAAAAAACGCCGGAAATCGGAAATTTTCAAACTGGATTAATATATAAAATTTTAAAGTTGCAAATTATCGTACATAAAGGAAGTTAAATCCGAAATCAAGAACCGGAGATATTATCGAGGGGGTTAAAAAGGACATCGAGGGATTTGAGCGAATATAAGGACATCGAGAATATCGAATGATTAAGAAGACATAGAGAGATTAAGGAGGATATCGGGGGGGGGGATTAAGGAGGGATCGATTAGGATATTGGGGGATTGGATTTGACGGATTTGGATTATTGGATTTGAGTGGTTATAGTGGGAAGAAAATTTTAAGGGATTAAAAGATATTGTGGGATTTAAGTGGATAAAAATGATATCAGTAAAAAATTAAAAAGGATATCAGTTAAAAAGGATATTAGATATCGAATGATTAATAGGATTAATAGGATCGAAGGAAAACGATTATACATGTTGGCCTATTTATAACAAGTATAATCTTAACGATCCCACTACATAAATAACTGCTTAAAAGACCCTTTTGTTGAAGTATTATCCCAATATTTTAATTTAATTAGTCACAAACCTTCAATAATATCCTTTATATAAACACGTGTGAGTAGTTCAGTTTTCTTACCAAATTCAATATTGAAATCTTCGGCGTGATTTATTGTATAACTAGATAGAAGACCGGTTTGGTACTGTGTATGTTATTCACAAAATAACCTTTGTTCACTAATTGACAAAGAAATTGTAGTAACAAAAATATTATTGTCCAAATTGTCTGGATTAGTTAAGTAATCAGTTTTGATCATAATGCCGTGCCATAGAGTTGAAGCTGGTTTTCCCAATTTACATAAATGTTTGTTTTTTTCTTCCGAACAAAATTGATTTCGTTTAATTTCACATTGTTGAGTAACATTGTTCTTTCAAAATAAGGCATAATCTTTTAACATATTTAAAATATTCAGTTTAAAGCAGGGTTACGATTCCTACTTTTTTAAAAGTATTCTACTTTTAAATCGACCTCCATGCTTACGAAATTGAATTTATACTTTTTTGAAAGTATCTACTTTTTTTTGATTGAAAATGAAATTAAGGAAGGGATCGGGCAAAAAAGTGAATTTTCTGGCCTACGGCTTCTAAAATTCTCAAAATTTTCGCCTGCGGCGCAAAAAATGGAAGAAATCTGGCTTAAGGACCTCCAAAATTCTCAAAATTTTCGCCTGCGGCGCAGAAAATAGATTTTTTGGCGCCTTCGGCGCCACAAAAGGTCCATTAAAATTGACAAAATGCTCAGTTGAAACAAGAAATTATTAGAAAAGATTCATTTACGAGAGAAATATGAAAGATTTGAGGACGAATAAATATTTTCTAATTTAATTTTGAGACTACTTTTTTTTCGCAAATTTTCTCCCTATATACTTTTTTATCGAGATTTTGATACTTTTGATGGGCCTTTTGTCGATCGTAACCCTGGTTTAAAGGAAAGCGTAATTTTTAAAATGCTCTTTGAGTTACGATCTTCATTACCGTATATGCTCGAATAATTACTCTCTCTCAAATAATTACCCTCTTTAATAATTAAACCCTTATTTTTTAACAAATGGTAAAAATCTTTTCCAATTTTATTAAACAATATCAAAAAATAAATTGAGATATATCCAAATTATTGAGATATATCCAAAATTACCCCCTCCAGTGAGAGGTCGAAACAATAATTACCCAGGGTAATTATTCGAGCATATACGGTAGATTGACTGCCATTAGCTATGATCTTTCCTACTCAGAGATTGTGGCCCACTCATTATATTTTGACAATTTAGATTCTTTCATATACTTACAGGGTTAGCTTCACGAAGTCGATGGGGAATTGAGGCAATAAGACCATTCGATGTGTTATTTCCAACTAATTGGCTTGGATAGCAAATTAGTAAACTTAAAAATATTTAAGTAGCTAAATATGTTCATCATCTATTATACTTATCGCATAGAAAGCCGGGTGTCCTCGAGAAGATTATGCCGTAGGAGCCGTGTTCTTTTTGGCCGGGGCGAAGCATACATTGATCCGAATTTAGATACGGAATGGAATGATGCGTTTTGATCATGTCCGTCAGAAATACACTAAATAGTAATAAAATGTTTTATTAGGTTAAGTAAGGATTAAACTGCCCCATGGTGCTAAAATGTTGGAATTCAGATCATGGTTTCCCCTTTTGTCTATGCAAAAACTTAGGATTTTTAAAGTCAGAATTTTTCATTCTATTTCAAGATTTTTGCATCATTCTAAGGATATCTAAGAAGTATATCATTTTAAATTTTTAACAACTTTTCTTAAAGAATTTATTAAGATTATTGCCATAATATAACTTAGTAGAATATATACATACAAGTCGGTATTATATCCTTCATTACCACCTGCAACAATCACATAATCAAGTTGTAAAATTAATAAAATAAATATAATTATTTTATTAATAATTTTAATCATTTTTTCAAATTATCTGAACAGAATATTTTATTAATTTTTAATTAAATAAAAATTATGTAAATTCTAAATAATTTATTAATTAGATTATTTTACTGGGAATTGGCTGACTAATTTACTGATGTTATCTGATAAAAATATTTACGTTTTTATTTTACATTAATTCATTAAAACAGTTGATAAATTATAACACCACAAGTAATTATAGTTTAATGAATATTTTTTCCAATAGGGTTGGTCTATTAATATTTTTGTATGTTCTAAAATGTAAAAATTATATTTTAAGGGTGATTCATCCGTAATCATTAAATGGAAGGATCTATAAGAGAATGAAACAGAAAATTTTAGTCCTAATTAAATTTTTGATTTCTCATTACTTTTAAATCGACCTCCATACTTACGAAATTGAATTTGTACTTATTTGAAAGTATGCCTTTTAATCTTTTGCTAAAAAATTGAATTTAACATTAAATTTCCCAAAATTTTTGCCTGCGGCGCTTAATTTGGAGTGTACTTTTTATTTGAAATTTAGTCCCAATGTACTTTTAAATCTAGATTTTTGTACTTTTGATTGGCATTTTTTCGATCGGAACCATGATATAAAATCATAAACTAACAGATAAACAAACATATTTAAATATATTTATATTTATAAAAATATTTATATAAAACAAATTTTTTCTGCTTTTCTAAAATCAAGTAATTTCGATACTTGCGTGTTTATGCACCATGAGTTTAAATGATATAAACTTACCATTATGTATAAATGGTTTCCTCACCCCTTTTTGTCCTTATGATGGTGCCAAAAGACAGTTTCATTATGGTTGTTTATATCATCTTAAACCCATGGTGTAGAAACTACACAAGTACCGGAATTTCGTGAGATCACCTCTGATCATAACTCCCTAGATATGTATGATTTATGAGAGATAAGTTAAAGTGCGACTATTCAGTGATGATTAGTTAGCACTTTTTAAATAGCTACTCTCTCTAATAAGATAAAAAACAAGTCTATTTTTAAGGGTTTTATATTTTTATTATTCAATCCTATACAATCGTGAGGATGTTCTTTAGGATTGCAATTTTGCTTAATATTATAGTAAGTACATACATATTTTAATTTTTTTAAAAAAGATCTAGAGACCATACTCGGACATCCTAGAGTATATAAGTCGGTTTTATCGTACTAAAAAAGAGATAAGAGTAGATCTGGAGTTGTTTTCTTGGTTCCTGTTTTTTGTCTCAAATCTACTTCTTGGGGTGCTTATTAGGGTTTCGCCGGAAGTTCCGGTTCCGGGTTCCGGAAGTTCCGGTGTTTTTTTGGTTCCGGTTCCGGTTCCGGGAACCGGAACTCAAATTGGTTCCGGTTCCGGTTCCGGCTCCGGTTTATAAATCGGTTCCGGCCAAACCGGAACTTTTTTACACCCCTAATGTTTTGTTTTTTTTTAAAATATTACTAAACTACCCGTACTCTCGTACTTTGTATTAATAGAAAATCGAAAGAAATATGTTTAATTTCTTTCAATCGCCCTCATATAAGCGGGTGGCCGAGTGGTTAAGAGGCTTTCCATAAGTAGCTTATCTTATACATAATTTTAATTTTTTTTAATTATTCTATTTTTACAAGGAGAAATAAGCGCCTTTTGGCTCTCCAAAATTCTTAAAATTTCTCGTTTGACTATAAAATGGTTAATCTTTTCGCTCTTGCCTTCTGAAATCTCAAAATTTTCGCCTGCGGCGCTGAAAAAGATGATTTAGTTCCTTAGCCGTCCATAATTGTCAAAATTTTCGCCGCGGCGCTGTAAATAGAAATTTAATGGTCCATCCCTGATAGGTAATATCGAGGGATTTGGTTGTGATATACTAGAGGGATTGAGTGGTTTAAGGTAAATATCAGGGATTGGATACCTGGGGATTTGCAGTGAAATTGTGGGATATCGATGAATCAAGATCTATATCTAGGGATCTGGTAGGATTAAGGATATGAAATTTGGGTGTTCTGTTCGGTTTTTCGGTCCGGTTTTGGTTAACCAAAAGTTTCGATTCGGTTAGTCGTTTCGGTTAACAGAAGGATTTGGTGAAACCGGCAACCCTACTTAAAATAAAAATTTTTTTTAATTTGCTAGAAAATTTTTTTTAAAGTTCCGGTTCCGGTTCCGGTTCCGGCCCGGAACTTAGAAAAGTTCCGGTTCCGGTTCCGGGAACCGGAACTCAAATTGGTTCCGGTTCCGGTTCCGGTTCCGGTCAAAATTTCGGTTCCGGCGAAACCCTAGTGCTTATTTATCAATTTAATAATAATTAAAACTTTTATGAAAATCTTAAATCATCTTTGAATCTTCTTAGGAAATACCGATACGATTTTTGGCTCTTGTCCAGTTCATGCGTCCCATGAAAATTTATGCTTCCCATGAAGATTTATGAGCCCATAAAAATTTATGCGTCCCATGAAAATCTGAGTCCCAAAAATAACTTATGCGGGTACTTTGTTCATATCCCGCCCCCCACCCCTATTTGAGTCTCAGATTAATTTTCCTTTTTTGCTGTCAATCATTTATTTTTCCTCCTTTTTTAATGCCAATGATTCTCTTCCCTCAAATATTACGAGTAAAAGGCAAGTTAAAAATTTATGATATTTGGGGAGTATAGCCCAAAAGGACGCGCCGCCATAACGGCGCAAAGCCATAACTTTCTGCAATATTTTTGGCCCTTGTCATTTTTGGTATCAATCTCTTAAGCTCGATGAGAGGAATCGTTTAATATTAATTTTCGAAAGGTTTGAAAATCTTGAGGCAAGTTATGGCTTTACGCCGTTATGGCCGCGCGCTCTTTTGGGTGTCCTATATTTGAGGGAAGAGAATCATTGGCATTAAAAAAGGAGGAAAAATAAATGATTGACAGCAAAGAAGGAAAATTAATCTGAGACTCAAATAGGGGTGGGGGGCGGGATATGAACAAAGTACCCTTATGCGTCCCATGAAATTAATTGAAAAAATATTGCAAAATTAAAAAATAACATTTAAAGAATGTATTATAAGCCTTGCTCAAGGGCCAATGAGCTTATATATGTATAGTAATAAAACTAAAATGTTTATTCTGGTACTGTGTTCTTATTTCTTCCATTAAGAACTGAGGATATAAGGAAATTTCTGATGATATAATGTAATTTCGAGGGATTGAGGACATTTTCAAAAGAATGATTGATTTAGAGCGATATCAAGGAATCAGGGATTTAGATTGAACTTTTTTGTGTCTGGGGACCGGGACTTTTTTCGGGGCGGTGTTACAATTTGGTTCTGGGCTCCGGGTGGAAAATTTGATAATAGTTCATCGGGATTTATTTCATCGGGATTTTAATCGAGATTATGATAGATATTAGACCATTTGAGTGAATTATGTATGCTGGATGTTGAGTGTCTCGGGATCAGACATATCAGGATTGGGATTCAAGAAACCGTGATAATCGATCTATAATAATCCCGATCTCTATCGAGATCCAAATTGTTGTGTATGGGCGTCAGCCCTTAAAGTGATTAGTATAAAAGCCAGCCATTAGTTAATTCCGGGTCTCTTCACCTGTCTATTCTTCCTACCACAACTTCATTGTATTTCGTTCGTGTGATAAAGTATTGTTACTGTCCTCTACGTAAGTCGGGTCGTAACAATTGGCGCGGTCGCAAACGAGTCTCGACAACAGCTGCAGTAGAAGTCAACAATCGTCAACAGCTTCAAAAGGCAGTCAACAACAACAACAAAAAACTGTTAGCCGACAAACGATCGACAACAGCAACAGTAGTATAAGTCGACAAACGATCGACTGGAAAAAAGTGATTGCTAGTAAAAGTATAAGTGAATAAAGTCTAGAGAACTTTAGTGTTAGTCGACAAACGATCGACAACAAAAAAAGTGTTAGTAAATAGTAGTTGACAGTGCAGTTGAGTTGAATTCAGTGAAAGTCACTGAAGTAAATTGTTAAAAAGAAAAGTAGTAACAAGATCCTTAATTGGATCCTCTGAGTCTACAATAAACGCAGTGACAAGATCAAAAAAGTGATCCTCTGAGCCTGCGATAGATAAAAGGAAGGAAAGTAAGTAAAAAGAAAGTAAATAAACAGTGACAAGATCAAAAAGTGATCCTCTGAGCCTGTAAATGAGTGCCATTAGTAGTTGCAGCAACAAGGATGGATGCTATGGGAACAAACCTAAGATGAAAGAAGTCAAAGACGACAACAAAATGAAGACGTAGATGAGCCAAAAATAGATGAACATACAAATACAAATGTGATAATATTGTTGTCTATATTTTGTTTGTAATGTATATTTTGTTGTTCCTATTGCCCCATTTCCCTAAAATATGTTGTATGTATTTATTTTGTTGCTGGCTGGCAAAAAGTGTAAGTATAGTGTAAAGCTTCGGCTTTAAGTAAAACCCGAACCTTTTTTTAAGGGGGGAGGTGTTGTATATGGGCGTCAGCCCTTAAAGTGATTAGTATAAAAGCCAGCCATTAGTTAATTCCGGGTCTCTTCACCTGTCTATTCTTCCTACCACAACTTCATTGTATTTCGTTCGTGTGATAAAGTATTGTTACTGTCCTCTACGTAAGTCGGGTCGTAACACAAATCAAAGCCAAACATTTCATGAAAGCATAAATTATTTTTTGGACGCATAAATTTTTATGGGACTCAAAAATTCTCTTAGAACGCATAAATCTTCATGGGACGCATGAACTGGACAAGAATCCGATTTTCAATACCGCAATACCGATCAGTATCGATATTGCGGTATTAGCAAAAAATTAGAAACCCCGATACCAGTTTTGGCCAATTCCGATACCGGATCGGTATTATCGGTATCGGGATCATCCTTCCAAAATACCGATACCGATTTTTCTCGGAATATCGATAAGCTCAACTCTAGTTGGAATGAATCAGTATCTTAAGTG